TCATAATCACGTTAACTCGTGTGAAACATTTATCTGGTGCCTGGTACCTGAAAGCCAGGACAGACTCGAGGGGGCAAAAAGCAAACAAATGATATAGATCGATAGATCACTACCTGGGAAACATTGGGGAGGATAAGATAGCCTGATAGAGACAGGCCCCTGCTACTGCTACTGCTACTACTATCACCCTCCTAGTCAGCACCTCGCAATTAACAATTAAAAAAACCATGCAGGCAAGTAATATCGGAGTTACGTGTATATTCATGGTGGTAACTACCTGAGGTAAGGTAGTATCCGTCACTGGACACTGACGTACGTACCACTTGGGAAGCTTTCGATCCCGCGCAGACCGCTTCTTGTAGCTTACCCGTCATTGACACCGTACGCAGGGGTTTAGGCTTTTAGGCCCTATGGAGTACAGTAGTTATGGCTGACAGACTTGCGAGGGGGGAGGAGAGGACGGGATTCGGGAGGAGGGGGAGAAACCTTCCCTGGCGTGCATTATCAATTCGTTTAATTCCTGCGAACTTGGTCAATGATTGGTAAAGAAGGCAGAGAAAAGGCCATTTTTAAAGTGTTTCTTTTTAACTAACTCCAATCCTGAACTATGGTTAATTGGATTTGATTTGTTTTTTTGTTTTTTATTGCTCCATGGCGGCTGTCATATTGGCTCCTCTGGGGTGTTTTCTCTTTTTTTCCTTTCTTTTTTTGTAGGTGTCAGAATCTAGTACGATTTTTTTTCTGTCAGCAACAAACAATTACCCTGTAGAGTAAGTGCCGAGTGACAGGGGGTTGGGAGGTGGGCGAGAGGGAGGGCGAGCGAGACAGAGACAGAGGCATGGAATAAAAACTCAAAACCCAACCTCATAAGCCCGAGCGAGAGGAGAGATACAGGGGGGGAAAATAATGAAAAGCCAAGGTAGCAACGTATGTAGGTACTAACTAGTTGCGTCCTGGATCGCTCCCCTCCTTTTCTCCTCCTGCACCGCATCATTACTTCGCCCCCGTAAATACCGTATATTCGGCGCCGGGGCGAATCACGGCCACCAAAACAGATTAATCCCAGGCATAATTCCTCAAACCAGGTTTTTTTTTTGTTAAAAATAAATTAGATTACATATGTATGCCTTCCCCTTGCCCATTCGGTGCCTTGGGTAGAGTAAAACCACCCCGGACCCTGTCTGCACCTGCAGACGCTGCATTAAGTTGCAGGATGGGATTTTTACTAGTCCTAGTGGACAAGGAACCTGGTCGGTTGAGTCGGTCGGTAGCTACCGTATAGGTTCGGAGTATGAGCTCCGTTACGGTAGACGTCGATTCGGATGGCAGGATGGTTGAAAGAGATGGGACTAGGGAGTAATAGTGGTCTATAGTCTATCCGATCCCCAGATATTATCTGCGTTTTTGAGCTGCTTTCTTTCAGTTCCAACTATACTAGTCTTGATTCGTCTCGGTCAGTCATTCAGTTTGTGTGAGAGACTGAGAATGAATGAGTGTGTTTGTACTTACCAGAAAGTACATACATACATGCATACATGCTACTGTACAGACCACACGAGTATGTACACCTACAGTACACATGGCCAATCCTGTATAATTGTACAGCCTGTCGGGTTCTGCATGAATCGAGTCAGATCGTACCAGACGGAATGCTTATTGCCCTCGCTTCAATATGGGGAACATTAGGCCAACCGTCCGTGCAAGTTTGGCATAGTAAAATCGAATCGGAGCCAATTGCTCGTGCGCAATGGCTAATCATAGACTAGAGTCGACTAAGGTAACGACGGAGTACGGAGTACATGGCACTATTAAAGAATAAGTCCTACAGAGCTTGGGGGGAGGTTGCTCCGTTAGTTCGTAGTAGTAGCTCCCTACTGTCTTGGGACAATTCGTTTGGGGGTCGTGCCCGTCAGGTGATTCTTTACTCGGGAGGGAGTGGCTTCAGTCAGCCATGCTGCTTGCTCTCTTTCTGTCTTTCTCTCTTCTTTCATCGTCTTGGCACGGTGCACGTCCTCGTGTCTCAGTCAGCCTCTTCGCATCATCCTGGGCCAAAGTCAAAATGGAAAAAGGATCAAGACGAAACAAATGGTACTTTTTAATCATTAACTGCAATCTAAGGCCTGTGCGTCTACCGATCCTTAGCAGTCCGAGAACAGGGGGATCTAGAACCTCAAGGGTCGGAAACCTCGGAATAGAAAAGCGGATCAGAGCAAATAGTCGCTTCCAAACAGGAAAAAAAGATGAACATGATAATTCGGCAGAACTACTGTAGGTACTGCTGAACCAAGAAAAACCCTATTCCAGATTTTCCGACTTTCAACCTACTGTCGAGAATCATTCTCCTTTCTTGCACCCCTGCTCTTACTCAAACAAGATAAACGGACTGTGCATCACGGACAGTAGCAGTGCAAAGCAATACACACTAGACCATGATTCAGTACACTCTCCTCTCAAACGAGTGATCCTGCAAACCGGGCAGCAGGTGGCATAGTTGCTGCCCGTGCGCGAACCGTCTCCACCGCCAATCAAACTCTCTATGGCAGCTTCGCGGAAAAGAGTTGTCACAAGGGCTGGGCCTTTTGGACATGGATAATGAGCGAAAGAGCACCACCTAACACAAATCATCCATCCTCTTGAACGCGATTCGCCACATTCCTCTCCGCTCTTACGCGGTCATAAGGATAAGAATCGATGCAAATCGTTTACCGCTTGATAATCGTCACTGTAATCACGCCAGTTAGCCTCATTAAACGGTCAGGGGTTGTTGTGGATCAAAGCGAGAGCGTACCAATATCCTCGTCTGCGAGCTCGTGCGAGAGACCAACCCGTTGCGGCTGGTGCTTCACAGAGCGTCCATATACAATAGCCTGCTTGAACTGGTCCTTGATTGTCCGGTGAATGGAATTACACTGGTTCAGGGTTAGCAAAGACACTACTATCGAAAAATATAATGGGCATTGGTAGGAGGGACATACGAAATCTTCGATCGTGGATGCGCCTGCCTTAAGCACAACGGGAGCAGTGTAATCAGGGGCCTTGCCCTTGGGTTTGGTGTAAATTCGGCGGAGGTTGAGCTTCTCCCACATGTTTTCCAGTAATTCGTCGATATTCCAGCCATGTTCGGAACTGATGGGGCAGGCGTTGGGAATCCGATACAACAAGTCCAATTCTTGAATCGAGATAGAATCAATCTTGTTCAAGGCATAGATAACGGGAATATAGGCTCGACTCTTGGCTTCGAGAACATCGATGATATCGTCGACCGTCGCGTCGCATCGGATGGAAATATCCGCGGAGGAGATCTTGTATTCGTTCATGACGGCTTTGATTTCCTGTTCGCAAAGTGATTAGCCAGGGACACTCGCAAAGCGTCGGCATGACAGGACCGTACATCATTATCAAGGTGTGTCAAGGGAACAGTGCTAGTAACCGCAATACCACCCTTGTCCTTCTTCTTGAAGAGAATGTTAGGGGGCTGCTTGTTGATTCGAATACCGAAGCCCTCCAATTCGTTTTCGATAACCTTCTTGTCGACCAGCGGCTTGTTGACATCCAAAACAATGAAAATGAGATGGCAGGTCTTGGCCACAGCAATGACCTGCCGACCACGACCCTTACCATCTTTGGCACCCTGAATGATACCAGGAAGATCAAGAATCTGGATCTTAGCACCGTTGTACATCACCTGTCCAGGTACCGTCGTCAAGGTTGTGAACTCATATGCGGCAGCTATTGGGAGCTAATGTCAGTACTGATCCCGTTTTCGCTCGATAATTTGACCGCAAAAAAACTGACCTTCTGAATGCTGGCCTGTCAATTTGCTCATCAGGGTACTCTTTCCGACTGAAGGAAAACCGATGAATCCACTGTGCAAAGGTTAGGATCGCGCATTTCAAGGATGGCATCCCTTTCAAAGCATAGAACGTACACACTAGCAACACCAGTACGGGCAACATCGAAACCAGCTGAAGGATCTGTGTTATCAAAAATTTCGTCATTCCGGTCGAATGCAGTACTTACCACCACCGCCTCCACCACCACCAGACGGGGTCAAGAGCTCTCTCTTTAGCTTGGCGAGCTTAGCCTTCAACTGTCCTGCAGCGCATTGTCAACCTCCGATTCAGACCACGGTCGCGTTGTTTTTGTCCTGCCTACCCAAGTGGAAGGATGTGTTTTTGTTTTTTTGAGTCCGAGCCATCTGAAGAAGCGAATTAACATCGTGAACCCTATAACGTCACCGGTACAATTGCTGCGTGGGATTCGACACGAACCTCGTCCTCGACTTGTTTGATCTACATTGATACATGGTGGATTAGCAAGATTCATTTGATCACTATGCAGAGCTGCAGAGGCTAGAAGCTTGCGACATGAGCGAACCAACCTTCTCAACTGTGGTCGACATATTGGCGGGTTGTTACGAGTTTTACCCCTCGTGCAGGCACAAATATTTAGATCCAAAGAGAAAGAAAAAAAGATGGGGGAAAATGGAAGAGTCTAAGTATATATGCGGGTTCCCAGGTCCTGTGGGATATGAATTATGTCACACGTTCTCTTCTGCGGTGGTGGTTAACCAGAAATGCAGACTTCGCAGTTTCGCAGACAATCTTTGAAATTGTGGCCGCCACTTCATTCGCCGCTTAGTCGGGCGGAATGATCACATGGTGGGGCCTGGTCGCCTCAGGCAGAATTAAGGCATCCCCGCTTATCGACGGGCGGCGGCGGGTTTGCCGGCCATGCTTTCCTTCTTCATGACGACGAAGTGGTTCTGAGTCGAGGCATTGCTTCCGGTCAATTGCTCGACATCCATTCTCTTAGACAATACTATTGCACTAACCGACCACATTCTTTCTTATCCATGTCTATCGCACTCGCGGATTGATCAATCTATCACTATCGCCCGAGTAATAACCCCTACACTGTCTCTACCCACAGAAGCACATACATACATTTCATCATCGGGATCAGACAAAGCGCAAAGTGGGAGGGAAACTCGTGGAAGAATGCCCTTCCTCAAATCTACGGACCCACCCGAAAATGCATTCGAGCAATTGGTGCGCGATCTCAGCGAAACCCTAGGCCCAAGCTCGGGCCTCGACTCCGCGGATGTCGACCCTCTGGACATCCAGCGTCTCATGGCATGCTACGCCTCAAACCCAGAGGAATGGCAGGATTTTGCCCTCGGTGATTCCAGTAGGACGTATACTAGGAATCTCATCGATGAAGGAAATGGGAAAAGCAACCTTGTGAGTCCTGTGTTTTTGGTATAAATATCCAACCATGTATAGCATAGATCAAATGCAGGAACACATAAATCTCAGAAGGAAAGTCAAAAGGACAATGAGTCGCTCCCGGCTAATTCCTTACTCTTCATCCAGCTGATACTAGTTTGGACTCCTGGCAAAGGTAGTCTGATCCACGACCATGCCGATGCTCACTGCGTCATGAAGGTACGTAGATCTGTGCATGCACGCCACAACATGATAGTTTGAGACTCACCATAACCTCCCCAACATACGGTATAGATCCTCAGAGGCTCCGTCCAAGAAACCCTCTACTCCTGGCCCGACCAGAACAGGATCAAACACGGAGAGACCTCCCCTCCGCAGATCAAGAAGGTGACCACATACAATGAGAACGAGGTGACATACATGTCTGACAAGGTTCGCATCCCTCCTAAAGCGCGTAAATCAAACACCCAACACCCTGATCTAACCATACCGGATGAACAACCAGCTGGGTCTTCACAAAATCTCAAATCCCGACCCCCACAACTTCGCCATTTCGTTGCATCGTACGTAGCAACCCCATCTCATGCATAGCCTCCAACTTGATGTCAGAAGTCAATCAACTGATAAATATTAAATCAGTATACACGCCCCCCAACGCCGCAACTCGCGGATTCTCCATCTTCAACGCTGAAACCGGCAAGGCCATACATATCAAACAGTCGCATTTCTACTCCGTCCGAGGCCGACGGTGTTCGAATCCAGCGTCTTGAGTACTATGATGACGCTTTTTTCATTTCCTGTTCTTTTGGAGGCATATGATCGGTGTTATGGACATTGAATTGTTGCTTGTTTGTTGAGTTCTCTCGCTCTTTCTCAGTTTTGTCTTCCAGGTGTATCGGTGTTTTTGGGAGATCGCGTTTGCGCGCTCACTACTTTATGTTTATGAACATTCATGATGGAATGATGAAAAAGGAACGTATCATTACTGGGGTTGCTTGGGAATAGACCAATAGATAAACAAATAGATCAATTGAAGAATAGAAACGACATGAAAGTGAAAGAAATTTTACCCTAACTACTATGTACCTAGTTGGTTAGATAGATGGAGGTTTAAAAAACCTCCCAAGATAAGCAAAATAGAATAAAAAAGAGACAAGATAATTCATGAAATAAATAGCCATTGCTCCTAATGCATGCATGGACAGACAAATATTCTATCCACGAGAGAATAATGCTATGCATAATGTACATACAACAAAAAGGGCGACAATGACGTCATACAGCTGCTAGCGAAGATGGCTGGGAACAAAATTAAACTAAAACACACTAGAGAGCAGGAAAAGCGGATAAGCGAAAAAAAAAAGTGGGCAAGAAGAACGATCAAAAAGCGAAGAACACAACAACAACACGTGCCAGAAACGAATGTGGAAAATGAAGCAAATTGAAAGAAATTGTAATGAAAAAAAAAGAGGGGGAGAGAGGGAGAGAGGAAGGAAAAAAATTCCCTTCCATCAATGACTCAAACTCCAAATCCAATCAATCCGGAGAAGAGCCTGCTGCTGCGGCTGCAATTCTTTCAATGAGTAGATCTGGGTTCTCTAGAACCTCGGACTGACGCCGCTGCAGCTCTTCGAGGTGTGTCAACGGATTCTGTTAAAGTCCAGTATAAGTATGCCGCTCGAAGGAGATGCAAAAACACATCAACCGTGACACCCACCCAGTCCTCCTGGTTCGGCACTCCTTCGGCAACGGGTAGTTGGCCCGTGACGTAGTCCTCTTCTTCTGATGTGTTGAAGTGTGACGATCTTCTTCTGATGGGCATGGGCGTTACGGGCAGACTTGGACGCTCAATTTCACTGGGGAAATGAGTCAACCGCGTGTCTGAGCCTGGCTCCTGTATTGCTTGGCCTGAGATTCTTTGCCCAGAACTGGATGCGCCCGATATCACCTGGACCTTGGCCTTCCGAGCTTGCTGGATCGATTGAATATACCGTTGGATCTCTGGGACATCGTCCCATGCATTGGACCTGGTATAGTTCTCCCATGACTCCGGAGGCTCGCTGTAAGTCCAGGTAAAAGTGGATTCCAGAGATGGCGTCGTCATCGAGTCTTCTTTGGAAGATTCTGTAGAGATCCTTGTGCTGCTTGGGCTCGGAAGGGTACTTTGATCATCATTCACAAACACTCGAGTGGGCTTGGGCATGTGACTTTCCCAGGGGAATATTTGCGTAAGCTTTTCAGGCTCAGGTTTAGTTTCCGGAACATCATAGTACATATTCTTGGGGGCTTCTGGGTAGGCGACAGGCGGTTGGAACAGCTGGTTATTCTCGGACATAGTATATGTCTTTAGTTCCAACGCAATCGCTTCAGGCTTGCTGTTCAGAGGCGGGGGCTCACTGTTCGCCGTAAGTTTGCATCCAAAATCAATTATTCGAGCTATTCAACTTACTGAGGTGCGTCCCATTCTGCCTTGGGAGCTTCAAAAGTCGGGGTTTCAGGCCTAGGCGTGGATCGCTCTGATGAATGCTCCTCCTCTCGATGAACAAACTCCTCTGGTTGGTCACTGGCTTGGGTCTCAATAAAACCCGAAGATGACGGGTATGAGGTCGGTGGGCCGACGTCTGGTTGGGCCCAGGATCGCTGCTCTATATGCGTGACAGACGGAGCCCCATGCGGTTGCGGCTGTATATAAGCCGATATGTGTTCTTCTCCACGGACATATTGTGGAACAGCACTGAAGAAGGGAGCTTGCACGTTTCGGTCAATATTCGACTGAGGTTCTTCTATTTGTGCTTGCGGTATGTCCACGGGCGGCTCTATAGTGACGGGGTCATGATGTTCGCTATATCCCGCTTGATGTGGCGTAGAATCTTCTTGTCTCGATACTGGCTGCGGCACCGGCATTTGTGTCCAGGCCGGTTCTGAAGATATCACGGGCTGTGTTTCCGTCGGCGGTCCCTGAAAGCTCGGGAAACTTTGGTCTGACGGAATATGCTCAAATGCTGTCGATGAAGATGGCTCCACAGGCGGGTCTGGTTGATGAGTTGCACTATCATCTTGTAGAGGAGATGGCTCGCCCTCTGGCTGATAATTGTATTCCGGGGTATATTTCGGTACACTCGTAGCACTCGCGACGGGATGATAATGCCGATCGTAAATCGACCACCATCTGCCCAGTAACTGGTTATAAGGCGAATCAGCCGGATCCACCTGCCTCGGCATGTTCCAGGGTTTCCGGGATCCGATAAAATGGATCAGGTTAATTGTACTCTGGAAATGTTTGTAGGCCGGTATGTACTGATAATTCGCGCTGGGGGTGCAGTTATAGGTAAAACTGAGCCGATGCCAGTCCTTGAAATGCAAATTCAGCAACCCCTGATCCGCGCCATCAAAACTAATGCCTCGTTCTGCGAGCGCCTGGAGGGCGAAATAATCCTCCAGGTTGGGCCGCAGCACCATCAACCCACTGTTAAAGCAATCCGGCCAGCCGACATCCGGGACGGCGGCAAAATCCACCTCGAGATCGAGCAGCTCGTCGGGGGCTCGGAGCGCCACAACATCACAGTCAATATATACAATGCGCCGGAATTGCGTTTGTCGCCAGAGCTCGATTTTAGTAAACGTGGCTATCAGGTCCGGACGTTCCATCAGCCAGAGGTTCGCCGGGGTGCTATTCGTCATCGGGTGAACGGGGATAAGTTCATCGTATATCGTCTATGAGAGCTCTCATTAGGGCATTGCGCGTGGAACTCGGTCTCAAAGCATTGGAGGATCCTACCCGAAGCTCCTGAATGGTAGCCGGCTGTAAGCTGTCCGGCGTGTAGAGGACCACCAGTTTCGCGTTTGTTCCAGTGTCGCGCAAGGAGTGAGCGAGGACCACGGCTCCTAGAGAGAGCACAGGAGCAATTTAGAACGGGTTCGAGAATCAAAACAGCTACCAGGGGTGCCAATTGTTTACCAGGGAGATAATGGTCGCTCAATAGAAGCTATGGGCGCGGTCAGCACTGGCTGCGACACTCGAAAGACCAAAACCAACACATACAGTGCAATAAGCTACACTCCCTTCGGAGCTCATGGTGGCGATGTTGACACCGCACACAATTCACACAATTACTGCGACAAGAGAGGGGAAAATCTATAAATAAATAAGGAATAAAATAAGGAAAGAAAGAGAAAAGGACAGGGAAAGGCAAGACAGGAGAAATTGAAGTGCGGTCGGAGCTTTTTGTTATGATTGCCCCCCTCCTTGCGCCGTCTAGAAACTAGAAAGTGACGTTTAGGGCCGACCCCGCATAAGCTCCAGCAGTGGCTGACGGATCTCGTACAACAGATCGAAATGAGGTCTTCCACCGGAGCTGCATTCCGGTGATAGAGCTTCCCGGAGAATTTACAAACACGTTTTCTAAGCCATTGGGGATGATGCAAGTAGAAGGAAACGAAAGAGAATAAACCCCAGGGAAGGGGAAGAAGAAAAAAAAAAGATGAAGCCACCACGGGAGGCAATTCCGGATGAAAAGGGGATGGTGCGACGCAGTTGGGGAGGAGAAGGGGAGAAGATGAGGGGAAGAGAGAGAAAGGAAGAGGAGGCGATGAAGCGACAGGGCGAGGCCCCGTGCGCCGCGCATCCCGTGAGGGCGACCGCTTCTCCCCCCGGTCAAGTACGCCGTAAGCTGCTATCGCCGTGTCGAGACCTAGTCATGTCCAACCTCCTCTTCTCAATCTCAGGGGAAGTGACACCGGAATTTAGCATCAGGGTCCGATTCGGAACTTAATATTACGCAAGAACGCTCAAGACCATTTATGCAACCCTCTGCACAGCGGGTGGTTGACAGGATCACGACGTACAAATTTCTTCGCCAACCGGAATTTATGGTGACACCGGGACACATAAGAAAGGCAACCAAGCGAGCCGAAGCAACTCAAATCCAGTTCACTTTCGAACGGTCACGGCAGCGCCCGGATAGCATCTCTGGATGGCGGCCCCAAGATCCTCTTTCTCACCCTGAACAGCCCACTCGACCGTCTTCTCCAGGGCAGCGCAACTCTCCTTCTCAATGGGGGTAAAATGACCGGATCGAGGAAGCTCGATAACCTGACTATTCTGAACAAGATAATCTGAAATTCCGGCCAGACACAATTGCGGATCGAGCGCCATGTCGGCCTTACCCCACACAAAGGTCGAGCTAGCTTTCAGGGTGCCCTTCGGACCTTCGTCAAACAGTCCCGCGCCGGAACTGACTCGTTTACCATGCTGGATGTTGTGCAGCTCGGCGATGGTCTCGGCAGACTTCTGCCAGCGTGCCAGAGCAGTGTTGTCCCGGTAGTAAGATGCCATGTGCATGAAATTCGAAAGCGTGCGTTCCTTGGAAATCGAAGCTGGGTATCCCTGACCGCCGGCGGTCTGTGTCTTGAGTTCCTCGGTAGACGGGCCCATTGTGCTTGCCATGGAGTCTGCGGCGTCCAAAGGAGTATACTTATCCGACCCGTACGATTTTCTGTGAGTTATCTTGAGAAAAGAGAAGTTCCCCCCTGTACCAAAATACTGAACGAAAGAAACGGGCATCTTTATGGCGAAAATGTATCCCGAAAGACCCAATTGCCGAACAACAGGCCTCAGGGCTTTCAACGCCTTGAAAATCGTTGCGCGAGACTGAATAGGAGTGCGTAGAGAGGTCTTGAGCATCATAAGGGAAGAAGAAAGCAGTCGGCGAATGTTGGACACAACGAGACGGGTCTAAGGACTTGGTCAGTCTTGAATCAGCAATGTCTGCGCAGGCAAGCTTACCAGTGGGCCATTGCTAAGGATAAATCGATCAGCCAACCCAGGAGCTTCGGACGCAAGTCGCATGGAAAGAACACAGCCCCAATCATGTCCCACGATAATCGTTCGCTTCTTGTTGGCCTCCGTATCTCCGTCGACGCCGTACTTAGACCTGATGGCCAAGACAAACCCAGTCAAGTTCTCGAGCACATCGGTAGCCGTGTATTCATCCAAGCCATCACTACCGCCATAGCCGGGCAAATCCACGGCAACGACCGTGGCAGACTGCTGAACGGCAGGGGAGCTCAGGAGATTGCGCCAAATCGCCCAGCTATCGGGGAAACCGTGGATGAAAATAACCAATGGCTTGGTGTCCGCCGTGGTCTCGGGCAGGTCGTTGCAGACGTAGTGGAACTTGAACCCGTTACGTAAGGTGATTATCTGATGGTGCAACCCAGACACGGTCTTCGAAAGGTTCCAGAGACGATCGCGAGCTGCAATTGGGAAAAGAAGTCAGTTTTACCATGATAAAAATGCGACCATAACTGTGTTATCACATGCGCAGAAGGCAGGTGATTGCAACGCACCCAACTGTAACTCCAAGATCTCCTTCTCGTCGGATTTCTTGAAGAAATATCCCTTTATCACCGCGGTGAATCCATAGCAAAGCAAAGTATAAAGCCCATAGGCGAAAAATACGGCCTGTTTCAGACCATTGACGAGTGGGTTAGCCATGGGTGGCAGCAAAGGGGAGAGACCCTGCTTCAGAAGGATGAAATTTCTCGGCCGTGATCTGATACTGAGGGGAAGAGAGAATATCAAACAAAGGAGAGAAAAAAGCGAGACAGGCCGGCACCTCGGCCGGTTACGTCTTAGGTATTTATAGGTGAATCCTCTCGGAATTAGTGCAACCGTTAGGAAGACTGGGAGCGGGCGCCGTGGTTTAGCCCCGCTGCCGAGCGACCATTGGCTTCTCTGCTCGCCCCGTGGAGCCCTGCCATGTGAATGACGGAGTTGAGTGCCTCGTCCCTCAGGCGGACAGCACGTGCCATCCCGGCGGAAATCTCAGGCGCAAGAGGATTCATGAATTGTACTCCGTCCGCATGTTACACACACGATGCTGCCACACAAATGCCGAGTCGCATGGTAAAGAAGAAATAACATAGCATTCAGAAAAAAAGTAGAATAAGAATAACTCCATACACCCTCAATGCAGCCAGACAATGCAAAGCCCAATCCGCTAAAAACAATGCTTGCGGATATCGACTCGGAGCGCACATAACGCAGAAATCACACAATCATGCCCTGATGGAACCATCGCACATGAGTTCGTGTCACATATACAGTCAAGAAAAAAAAATTTCCAACAGGGAGTCGTTCTCTCAGGCTAAGTGCTCAAAGAGCAAATCCCAGGTTTTCTCGATTATCGTCAACAAGTCGTCCATACCTGTCAACTAAGTTAGAAGAGATAGCTTGATCTTCCGCGAATATTCACTCACTCTAGTAATAACCTGAAGAGCCAAACTTCCATATCTTCATTGCGCAGAGCACTTTGAGCCCAATCGCGGCTCTGCTGAGCGATCCGTGGAGCTGCAATCTTGCCTTCTTCTTCGGCAGTAAAGTATCGCATGGTCTCCAAATATTCATCGCCCGTCAAGCCTAGAGGAACGTAATGTACCCACGGCTTAACCCATTCGTCGTGCCATTCGCGAAAAACGGAAACCTTGCAGACTAAGCTCTTGCTTTTCAAGAAGGCATAATACCGACCGCTGAAGGCGTTGCCGTCAATGTCCACCAGATACTTGTAGGCCCAAGCCTCCTGTTGCTCGACTGGCTCTGCCAATCGAAAATATTCTCTTTGAGCGGCGCAGTCTTGGGAATCGCACTGTCCAATAGAAGTAAATGCAACGTCGAACAGGTCACGATAGGCATTGCGATCCACTTCATTTGACTCCCAGCGATCGTCCTCCATTTTTCGAAGTACCTTTGCTTTGTTCAAGGCATTGATATGACCAACAAATAGCTGTCGATGGTGTCGTCGCCAGCCACCACCTCGAGAAAACCCGCCTGTCGTTGACCCTCTCCAGTACATTTGATCCTTTTTTCCCTCCCAGTTCATGTCGCGCGTTTCGATGTAAGGCACGTTATCAGCCCAGTACCACGGACTGGGGTAGAGAATGTCTTGAAAACTCGAGATCTTGCTTTGCGAGAAAACCGGAAAGAGATCACGGACCACGTCAAAAGCATTTGCGCGCTCCAGAAAACCAAACTTGTTCCGAAGAGATGGAGAGGTGCAAACGTCGGAGAAAGCGGTGGTATTGTAGACATAACCAAGTTCGCCAAGAGCATAAGCATCGACGATGTCGGGTGCATTTTCATCGAGCGAGCGAGCGGGACTATCCACCGGACAGGAAGCACGAGAGCTGGTCCACGTAGGTTGATGAGCGAAGCGATTGAATCGAGTAGTGCGGACTTCGTCAATACGATCGCCCTTGTTCAGCTCGGCTGGTTTGGCTGACCACGCATTGACCGGTTTTTGATTCTGAAAAGCGCTCGGGATGGCATGGTCTTTGGCGATACTGACCAGCCTTTGCAGATCTTCGCTGGGAAGTATAACTCGCGGCTCGTCGTGTGCATTAAACACCAAGTCCATGTCGGGCATATACTTAACAAAATTCTTCATCATGCCCGCGGTAGCATCTCTCTGCCAGTTTTGCTCCTCAGTGCCGCCCTCGACCAGAGTGACTTTTCCATCTCGGATTAAGACCCCAAGCATGGAATTGTCGAACCCAAGAGCTTCATGCGCACGCTCGCGGATCTTCTTCGGCTCCAAAGCCCAGAATGGCAAGAGGGAATGATAGATCGTGTCGTACTCGTCAATAAGTTGGACGCCCCTTGCTTTAGCAAATTGGAACCACTTGTCGAAGTGCGGCGGGGGGTTCATGCCATAACGACGACGGTACTCATTTACAGCTTCATTTAATGTTTTAGATTGGCGTGAGCGAAGCTGGTCAAATTGCTGATCGGCATTCGAAATCAGACCAGACATCGGATGTTCAGTTTCAGGGATGTCTGGGCCATGACTCTCGGAATGCCAGGTGGGCCCTGGAGCGGAGGAAAGAGGGGAAGAGGAATGCGGAGGAGGAGAGTAGGGAGGTGGTAAAGGAGAAGTGTTCAAGGAATATGAAGATCCATGTCCTCGAAGTAGAACCACCGAAAGGCATGCCAGAATGGCAATCACCAGCAAGGCCACCAGACGTTGAAGTCGCATTCTGCCATCGAAAGGCATCTACCCATGCATGAAGGATGAATAATCAACCTTGCGGAGATAACTAACTAGAGATAAGGATGGGAAAAGGAGGAGACAAGGAAGGGAGGAAGAAAGCGCTGACTGTGCAGGGAGCGAGCCTGAGGGTGAAGGGTGTAGATACCTGGATACCTGAGTCAACAAACAGATGCCAAGACCGGCACCCCAACAACCGGCTCACGACCCACTTTCGACTTAATCTCGACTCTCAAGATCTCGAAAATCCAAACCTGATGGTCTTTCATTGATATAGTAGTAGTACTTATTTCTATATACAGTACTTCTGATCTGCCAATAATTTGCCTGCGCATGCCACCGCTGTCCAGGAAGTTGTCCCCCATCCAACATTATATCCGTCCCCGTAATAAACGAAGCATCCTGGCTTGCAAGAAACCCAACAACCCCGGCGACGTCATTCACAGTGCCAACGCGACGAGCTCCCGAGAATTTGATCTGCGATAGGATGGCCTCCTGCAGATGGCTCTGAACGGCTCGCTCCGACATCACCGTCGAAACAACGCCGGGACTGACCGAATTGATCCGGGCTCCTTTCTGGCCCCATTCGTAGCACGCAGCCTGTACTCGGAGGACGTTGCCCCGTTTCGAGATCCCGTACGCGGACATCGTGTCGCTCGAGGACAGGTCGAGCTCTGCGTGTTGAAGAAGCTGGTCTCTCGGTGCTTTGGCCAAGTGTTGCTCCAAGGAGGAAGACAGCGTTTTGTATTGAGCTGCCATACTGGCGATGCAGATCATACTAGTACCAGGGGAAGCTACCGTGAGGAAAGACTCGATCACATTGGCGCTTCCGATTAAATTGATCTTGTATATCTGGGAAGCAGTGTTATTCACCGGAGACACTCCAGCCGTATGGACGATGACCTCGATTCTTCCATGGCTGGGGGCATCTTGCGCAAATTTCTGCACGGCGTCGGCGTCGCTGATGTCTAGAATATGACCTTCTGGCGAGAAACCCTCCTTTCGAAGGGTTTCTAAGACCGAATCTAATTGTCTCTTGGAGGCGTCCGCAAGAAGCACTTGTTTGCTACCTCCGAGACGACGCGCAATGACAACTCCCATGTCGCCAGGCCCGATAATGACGAGCACCGGTCGGCTTGTGGGCAGAGTTGGGAACATAGTTGAGGCGGCTGAGGTCATTTTATGTGTATAGGTACTGAATCCTATGGTATTCAGCAATCTTGGTTCTCGTTAATACCGCGTTTTTCGGCTAGATTCTTATTTCTATCACAACCAGAAGCTTCAAACGGTCGGGCTGGAAAGTCCTTAAAATGCGAGAAATTATTGGGTACTCTTGCATGTAGACATCCGGCGCTTAGCTTAAATAAGTCTTCATACTGTGCTGTATATTCGAATCTGCAGCTAAACGTCGCCAAACAACAAGGGGGTGAAGGACCGAGCGCATAGTCCCTATATGGAAAGTAAGCGCGAACCGGTTCTGGCCCTCGAATCTTTCAAATCGGTCTTTCAGAAACAACCACCAATGTCCAAAATCCAGTTCCTATCGTTTCACCGTCCAGCCACATGCTACATTGATCCCGAACCCTAGTACAGCCTCTAAAACAAACAACTGGGCCTGGGGAACATGAAAGTAAGCTGCAGAACACAAAGCCCCGACCAAAAATACATGAATGATGTAGAAAGCCTGTCGTTTGGCTTTGATCGGGGCAGTAGTCCAGGACCACATGCCACGAGATACACCCAAAGGTCGTGCGAAACCCATCAGTAATGTCACTATAGTGATTCCACCAAGACCCAATTGAACATCGGCATCTTGGATGCGTTTCTCTAATAGTGAGCTAAAGTCCGGATGACTGGACTGTATAAAGAAAGATAGATACAAGATGGCATGTCCAGCAAGTAACGGCGACAGGACCAATCGGCCCAGGAGCCGATGATAGGGGGTTAGAAACGGCTGTGGAATAGCCGTCAACACTGACAGGGGCGATGGCGCTCCTGGTTTCGAAGGAGCGATGTATAGAGCAGGAGACATGAGCACTTGGAAGGGAAGCTGCGAGAGGCCAACATGGCCTAAAGCTTTGGTGAGATGCAGGCCATCTGTCCGCGCAATTAGCTGAGAATTTGGACAGAGTTTGGTTGGAGGTGGGCAAAGATACTTACCATCCCCTGTGTTCCAGATTGAAAGACTCACTAGCCATGCCAGCCAGAGGAGAGTGAAGATATATTGTTTTCTTGTTTCGGTCCATCCCGGAAAGATCGGAGAATCCAACCATGATTTTGGCTTACGAGCGCGTCTGTTGTTGGGTTTATCTGCGCTTTTTGTACTTTCAGAGTAAATATGATATAGTCGAATGATGGCAATGACTAGCAGCATGGAGCCTTGAGCATAATATCCGCGAATGGTTAGAAGCTCCCGACGCTGTTGCTTCTCGACTGGCGAGACCGTCACGAAGTGCCAAGGCCACGTGAGTGACATCGCGGCGGAAGATAAAGGGATTTCTATAACGGCCAAAAAAAGAAGTGAAAAATGAATAGTGATCAGTGGACAGAAACAGATGAATATGTGCCGCAGGCGATAAGAGAGACGCGCATGAAGAAGAGCTGAGCTGCGATGGCGGCAGATCTACAAGTGGCATTCCAACGGGGAGGGCCTGACTAACCCTCCGCCTGCGACTGGTCAATAATAACAATCCACAAAGAGTGCCCCATGCTACTTCGTTTCTGCGCTTTACACACGTAAACCATGCTTCTAACATAAGAACATCACCATTGGATTTTCATAGGATTATTTGATAGTGGACCAAAAAGACTCTACATTGCATGCGCCATGAAGCATTTCATCCCAGTCAGGTGACCCGACCATTTCTAAGCTGATGAATCGTCATTTTCCCCCCAAAAGCAGTGTGAGTATACGATTTTCATTTCCCACTCGTAAAAAAAGTGTTCTCTCAACACATGTAGGCAGGCATCTGAGACCTACGCCGAGTCGCGGCATTCGTTCACGGCGAAGTCTGCATCACCTCCTCGTGGCCGCCTGCGGCGGTCGTGGCAAAGTACCGGACGTCAACATCCTCGTCCTGTTGCAGTTTCTCTAAGCTCGGGAGAACCCGCTGCTGGATGAGATCCTGACTACGTGGCGATTGGGTTGCGGTTTTGCCTGACTTCTCCAAGTCCGTCAAGGTGCCCTCCGCCGGGAGGCGGCGCATTGTGTCAATCAATACTGCGTAGGACTTGGCAACGTTAAAGCGGATATTCGGAATCTCGTCGGCCACGAGTCTGTCCATGATGGGGAGGATCGAGTTTTCAATGATGTCCAGGGAGACAACGGGCGCAAGGGTCTAAATGAACATGTTAATACGGCATTTTCCCGGAGAGACGGAAGGCAAACATACTGAGATAGCGAAGCACGTCGTCATTCTGTACAGGTAGTTAGGGTGCTGTCCCATCGCCATGACCTTAGGGATAATCGATCCCTTAGCCCAATCAACGCCGAATACTTCTGTGAGCTTCCGCAGATTTTGCGTAGCAGCCTCTCGGATGGAGAAAACGGTGTCGCCAAGCCAGCCCATGCAGAGATCGCTGAGCTGTTCGTCGAAGAACTTGACTCCAAGCTGGCTGGCAAGAAGAGGAATGTACTCAATAATAGCAAGGCGAACTCGCCATTGCTTGTCTTCGGCCAGTTGAACAATGGCGGGGAGAAGCGACTGAGAGAGGAGTTCAATGCCGATGACTGTACAGGGTCAGGCTATGCGCATCCAAGACAACTTTTCTACCGGGATGCAGTGCTTACCATTGTTAACTAGCTCCAACTTGGAGATAATGTGCAGGCGGACATCAGGGAATTCATCCTTGAGCATCTGGAGGAACATCGGAAGAAGGTGGGCAATCGTCCTGTGTACAAATGAAATGGTTAGCGCCTTGATTTGGTCGACTGGGAGACAGATGTGCTTACTCGTCCTTGCCAAGAAGCGGCGCGAGGCCACTGATTTGAGTACCCAAAGCCGCGCGCACGTGTTGAGATGGGTCCGAAACAAGATCTTCCACGCTGGTCATGATTTCGTTGAGAAGCGTCTCCCGGTCGATGAGACTGCAGAATCCTGTTGCAAGGTTAGCCTATAACCATATCCGAAAAGAAGATAAGAGGCCCACCTGGGATCTGGCCCGCAATCGCAGTACGGACTTCGGCTTCGGTATCCTTCAGGAGCTTAACGAAGGAAGGCACCATATCCCGGGTCACAACCTCCTCGTGCACAGCTTTAGCGATCTGGAAGACAGTATTAGAATGGCGTTGATCGGAGATATATATCATGAACGAAACTTGGCAAACCGACCTTCTCGTATCTATCGGCAACCATGTATCTAACCCTCCAGCTCTTGTCCTCGAAGAGGCTCCGCAGAGAAGTCAACAAGACGCCGTGGCTGGGCTGTTGCTCCTTGGGGATCTCCTCGGCGATCGCAATGAGAATATCGACCGTGAGAAGACGTACGCTGTCCTGGTCGTCGTTGGCCAGATATTGGAACAGGGGTATCATTTCCTCAATCACGACTTGGGTGTTCAACTCCTTAACGAACTTGGCTAGGTTGTTTGCTGCCTGCCTTCTCACCATGGGCGTTTCATCGTGTACGAGGCCTCCGAAATATTGGCGGAGGCTTTGCTGCAGCGGCTGGGGAGCCTTGCTGTATGGAGCACAGTAGAGACCGGTAGCGGAGACTTTCGAGGTGAACCAATCGGCTTTTGAAAGTCGTAGAACCATGGGGACGAAATAGTCTTCGATTTGCTTTTGGGAGAGTTGTTCGCCGATCTTGTTAAGGGATTCCACGGCCTATAAAACTGTTATTAAGTGTGCCCCCTCGGCATCGATCATTTCACCTACCTTCTCTCTGACCAAGGGTTCCTCAATGGCGGCCAAGTTCTCCAGAGGCGAAAGGAGAACGTGTCCGAATTCCGAACCACCGACATACTCTGTGAAGTTACCCAGCTCTTCGCTCAGTGCGGTCAAAACTTCATCCTCATCCTCGACGGAATCTAGAAATGTAAGAGTTAGGCGAGTGATGTCACTGGGGAGGCAACGGCAACTGACCATCAAGGAATGGGATGAGTTCCTCGCGAGTCCGCTCGGGCCCCAAGGCCAGAGCGATCGTGGACAGACGGTGGATGGCATTGAGACGGAGGAGGACGTCGTCATGCTAGAAGAGCCGATCATCAGAACCTATTACGTCGACGACCACGGGGGGTCACGAGGGACACCGCACCTTCAACTCATCGATAAGGACGGCGATAGGGTAGAGCTCGTCGTTTTCACCCTGACCCTCCATGGCGAATGTGATGAATTATATGCTTAATATGTGCTCGGAAGAAGGAAAAAGGCGAGGGGCGAGGATGTGACCGGTCCCAGTCCTCACTCAGGCAGCTAATTAATATTGCTTTTAGACCAGGTCTCACGCGGAACCCGGAGAGAAGACTCGGAGGTAATCTAGAACGGAGGGGCAGGGACCAAAAAAGGAATAAGATAGACCAAGTTTAGCACCTGCTCGGATGCGGATTAGCCTGTGTAGCCGAGGGAGGCGTGGTGGTATAGGAAGGGAGAAATAGTGGGTGCTGCGAGAGACCCCCGGAGTGAGGTTTCGTGGGGTTTGGGCCGCCGCAGGACGACAAGTGAGCAACAACAGAGCAGCAGTAGCAGCAGCAGCATACCTCGACAATTGGATTGGGGCCAAACTAGCGATGGTCCGATGTTTTTGGGAGCAAAAACAAAGGGGGAGGGGGGAATTAAGAAAGGGATCCGGAGGCGTGGAAGGGAGAGAGGGGGGTGCAATCTGATAAAGAGGACTAACCAGGTAGGATTGAATCTTGCGAAGGAGAGAGGAAGAGATGACGGTCTGCCTTTCCTCTGTGGCTGAAGAACAGGAAAGTGACCGTACGGAAATGGTATGGTAATCCCGTTCTTTTGGAGGGGTGGTTGTGGCGGTGCATATGCTGTGGCTGGTGTGCCCCTCCGAGAAGGGTCAAGCCCCAAAAGCAGCAAAAGTGCGACTTTATGACTCCGACTCTCTGCCAGCGCAACGCCGCAATTCCCTACCCCACTTCCTCCTGGTTGGATTCCTGTCTGTTCTCCGGTTGAATCGTGCAGTGCCGATTTTCTGGTGCAAGGGTACTTCCTGTCGCCTGTTCTCTGATCTTGTCTATCCTCCCCTCTGCGTCGCGCATCCAAAACCCCTCCATCATGCCCACTATTTCGGTCGACAAGGCCGCGCTCTTCAAGGAGCTCGGACGGGAGTGCGCAATCCCTCTAGATATTGGCCCGGAATCTCGTCGCTAATCATCTGGCCTGCAGTTATACCACCGAGGAGTTCGATGAGTTGTGTTTCGAGTTCGGTGTGTTTGTTGAATTGACCGTTTCTGCGGGGCTGATGCTAACGTTGCTTGATAGGTATCGAACTTGACGAAGACGTACTTGACCCCTCTTCCCCCTCTATCTGCACGCCTTTCTAATCGCCGAGAACCCACAGACCACGGATCAGGACCGACCAATTGTCGATGGAAAGCAGGTCCCGCCTGAGTTGAAGATCGAGATCCCGGCCAACCGGTACGCACCCTCCGATGCCCACATATGGTGATAACGCAAAGCGCATGGATCTGAGTGGTTTGGCAGATATGACTTGCTGTGTTTCGAGGGCATTGCCCTTATGCTCAACATCTTCTTGGGCAGACAGCCTCTCCCCAACTACCGGCTCACCCAGCCGGCCAGTGGAGAGCTGGAGAAGATCATCGTGAAGGAGGACGTAAGTGTCGCACCGCGAAGCTCTTCCTGTGGATCAACCTAAACTGAGCATCTAAATATAGACCATGAAAGTCCGGCCGTTGGTTTCCGGTGCCATCCTCCGCAACATCAAGTTCGACAAGGCCCGCTATGAATCTTTCATTGCGCTGCAGGACAAGCTGCACCAGAACCTTGCTAGACAGAGAACGCTTGTGTCCATCGGTACTCATGACCTGGACACGATAAAGGGACCTTTCACCTACGAAGCCCTGCCGCCGAAGGACATCAAATTCACCCCTCTGAATCAGACCAAGGAGCTGGATGGAGAGGAACTGATGGCTTTCTACGAGGTATGATTCAGGCATACGGTAACCCACCAGCGTGGATGCTTACAATCATCACAGAAAGACCGACACCTGGGTAAATACCTCCACATTATCCGGGACTCGCCTGTCTACCCGGTGATCTTTGATTCCAATCGGACCGTCTGCTCGCTGCCGCCCATCATCAACGGTGACCACTCGAAGATTTCGCTGGACACGAAGAATGTCTTCATTGAGATCACGGCCCTTGATAAGACCAAAGTTGAGATCGTTAACAAAATCATGGTTGCGATGTTCTCCCAGTACACAACGGAACCCTTCACGTATGATATTCCCGTCTTCTACGTGTCAGAAACCGAGACATGCTAATGTGTCAATAGCATCGAACCCGTCCAGATTGTGTCCGACCACAACAACGCGACCAGAATCACCCCGGAGATCGCGCCTCGCACGACCCAGGCGGAAGTGTCCTACATCAACCAGTGCTGCGGTCTGGAGCTTTCTCCCGAGGAGATCTGCACCCTGCTGAAGAAGATGGCCTATGACGCCAGACCGTCCAAGACCTCCCCTGACCTTGTTGATGTAGACATTCCCCCGACCCGTGCCGATGTGCTTCACCAGGCAGACATCATGGAGGATGTCGCCATTGCGTACGGATTCAACAACCTCCCCCGTTCTTTCCCTAGCAAGTCCGGCACTATTGCCCAACCTCTACCGATCAACAAGCTATCCGATATCGTTCGGATGGAAGCGGCCATGGCAGGCTGGTCCGAAGTCTTGCCTCTGATCCTGTGTTCTCACGACGAGAACTTCGCCTGGCTCAACCGCAAGGACGACGGCAACACTGCCGTGAAGCTGGCCAACCCTAAGACCTTGGAATTCCAGGTCGTTCGTACCAGCCTTCTTCCCGGTCTGCTGAAGACGATCCGTGAGAACAAACATCACACCGCGCCCATGAAGATCTTCGAAGTCAGCGACGTCGCCTTCAAGGATCTATCCCTGGAGCGTAAGAGCCGAAACGAGCGACACTTCGCCGCCGCGTGGTACGGCAAGACCAGCGGATTCGAAGTTGTTCACGGTCTGATGGACCGCATCATGGCCATGCTCAAGAGCGCCTTCATCACCGGCGAGGAAGGTCTTGAGAACCAGGCCATGAACGACTCCCAGTACTGGATCGAAGAACTTGACGGTGAGTCCCCCAGATGACAGACTGACGCTATCCGCGCAATTTACTGACGCGTTTTGGATTCTACAGATCCCACTTACTTCCCCGGTCACTCCGCCTCCGTGCACGTGCGCATCGCGGGCAAGGACCACGTCATCGGTGCCTTTGGTATCCTGCATCCTACGGTGTTGGAGAAGTACGAGCTGAAATACCCCGTGAGCACGGTGGAGATCAACATCGAAGCTTTCCTATGAGCGAGAATTGGGTAGAGAAGCGCTTTAGACATTAAAGTGTAGAGCATAGATGTGCTTGATCACTTGACATATACGCTTAGAACGCCGGTATTACGACCAAGAAAAAAATTAGCTTTTTTTTAGTTTGAAACAGAATCAAAAAAAGATTACAGTTTATATGTACTGTGTAGTGAAATAAAACCCGGGGTTAGTTCCTGACGTCAAAGACAATCCTATACGCGACTACATGGGGGCAGACAGCCAAATACACAGAAAAAAAAACTACCGCATATACGACATGAAGTATATAAGAATTTTTTTTCCGTGATATTTTGCTTTTATGTTGATTCCAGAGATCCGGAGTCCACCATACGCCAATGGAGGGAAAAAGTATGTGTAAAAAAAAAAAAATAGAAACCGTCAAAATCTTTTTTGTTTTGTTCTTTTTGGAGCCCCGTAAATTTTTTCGTTTCGGACATCAATCTTTGTTTCCCCCACCCTACCCAGATCTTTCAATAGGTAAAAAACATTCATTCTCTTCGTTTTCAGGAACAGATTCGTAGAATGGAAGACGCCTTCCGCAGAGGTTGGAGATGCGGCGAGAGCAAAGACATTGGAAGATCATGTAGTTGTTTATTTGCGTCAGGTAAAGAAACAAGGTAGGACGACAGGAACGAAGAAAAAAGAGCAGGGCCTAAGAAAAGAAACCAGATTACTCCTGCGCAAAAGCCTCCGCACCGGCACCTTCCTGACCCTCCGTGGCCTGCTGCTCGGCGAGACGCTGCTGCTCGGCGAGCTGCTGGGCGGCCAGAGCCTTGGCGCCGTAGTCCTGGCTCATGGGCTGGAGGATGGGCTGCTCCTCCTTGGGCTCGATGATGGTGACGGAGTCGGGGAGAGACTTCTGGGGGCCGGCCTTGCCCTCGGGGTCGGAACCACGCATGATCTTGACCTTGATACCAAGGACACCCTGGCGGAGGAGAACGTGGCGAGTGGCAGAGTCGATGAATTCCTTAGCGGGCTGACCGGAGTGGATCATGAATCCGTCCTAGAAAGATCGCGAGTCAGTTATCTGTTTTGACGCATTGTCGGAAAACCATGGTTTTGTAATCGTCCCAAATTGTGTCGCTCAGAACTCCCTCCATCCATCTTCTCGGAAAACAGACACCCTTCGAACACGAATCAGACCGGGTTGCTTTCGGGGTTCAAACGTACAGTGAACTTCATGGACTTGGCACGGGCAGCACGGAGCTTTCCGGAAACGACAACCTCGCAACCCTTGGCACCGCTCTCCATGATGAAACGGAGGACACCGTAGCAAGCACGACGGACGGCCAGACCGTTGAGGAGCTTGTAGCGGAGGGACTCGCACTGAGCGACGGCGGAGAGACCGCGGTTCTGGACCTTGGCGGCATAGAGGGAGACGGAGTTCTCGGGGAACTTGAAGCGCTTCTGGATGAGAGAGGTCAACTCGCGGATGCGGCGACCCTGCTCTCCAAGAACCTCCTGGGTGTGGGTGGCACGGATGACTGTGAAGAAAAGAACACCCGTTAGCATTCAAAATCGTTCCATTTCGACCGTTTGTGCCAGTATCCGATCGATCCTTTCCGCATTTGCGCTGTTTTCATTTGTTTGATTTTTTCATGTTCCGTTCCTTCTCTCGTCCTTCATCCAACAAATTCTCTCGCCGGATCATCGAAATCACACTGGGCACACGAAACAAATAACAAGGGTGTGGAATCGAGCGACGTACTGATGTCGGTGACGGTGGGAGTGACACGGACTTCGACACCCGAGTAGCCCTCCTCAGCCAGCTCGCGCTGGAAGAACTCGTTCAGCTCGGCATAGAAGACACCGTCGGCGACGAACTTGCGGCGCTTCGAAATAGCTCCCTGGACAGCAGCCATGATTTCGTTTCTGCGGATTGAATTGGGTTGTCGAAGAAACGGCCGAGGACGCGGTTGTGGCGGAGCTCCAAAGTTGGGAAGTCGTTCGAGGGCGAAATGGTCGGCAATCGTCGAGATCAGTTTTGAGATTCCGCGTTAGTGGGGGATTTTTTGGCCGGTAGGGCTTAGGGTTTAGGGCTCTACACCGCCTGCTGCTTCGGGGTGCTTCGAGGGTCGTGCCCGTTGTGGTGCCTGATCCGTCGGGCATCCAGCTATGTCATCGGATACGCTCAGACCACCTCAAGAATAACTGCATCTCTACTGGTACAATCAGAGATCGGCTTGGTCACTGAATAACACTTCATAGCCATGCACATTCGTCACAGATCTAGACATGTTCTAGGCCAGTCCAGTGGTGGCCGATCGTTACCATAGATACATTGAATCGTTAAAAAAAGTCACTTCCAAAGTTTTTGAAACTCAAACAGTTGGGACTCTCATTGCATCTCAACTTCCATCTGACTTATGGTCTTGGAAGCTTGGCCATTTTCCTTGTTCCTCGAGAAGGATAGGTCAGGCACTCCCAAGGACACTTCATCCATATCGGCTGCGACAGCCTTAGGGGACTCTCGGTCCTTTGCTGCGTTTCCAATCGAACTGTGAGATGATTCAAGACCGGTCAAGACCGGTGCCCTGGCGCGGGAGGTATCGCGGCTGATCGGCGCAGTAGCACTGGCCGAACGAGAGCCATTCATTTCGGTATCTGTCCGGCCAAATGCCTCGCTCCACCATTTGACTTCATTCAATCGCGGGAAAATTAGACGCTCTTTGCCGCGCTTGTGGTCGTCGATGACAGCATCATACTGGCGGTTAAGAAACTGTTCCTTCCGAGCAAGGAAGTAATCCCACACGCTCCGAGTCCGCTCTTTCGCCTTCCAGTCCACGCGCTCTTTTTCGCTGTTAAAGAGGAAAGTGCCAAATTGGCAGGAGTAGAGGTGATAGAGTAGCCGTCGCAAAAACCGCTCATTAAACTCGAACCGTGTAGGATATTGATGTAAGAGCTGAAAAGTTGCATCCAAGAATTGATGGAAAACGGGGCTTGTCTCCTTCACCTTCGTCACTTCTTTCTCCGGACCGGCCGATCTTGGTGCCGGGCTGGGGTTCTTAAGGCCGGGTTTATCAGAGTCATAGCTTTGCATCTCTCCCTCCGAGTCGGGAAGAGAATCACGACTTGTATTGTCCCGGTTGAAAAAGCCTTTGGCGCTCAGGAATGCGTTTTCAATAGCCTTACCGGCCCCTCCAGAATCGCCAAACCCGCGGTTGGAGTCGCCCCCAATTCTTTCATTCTCGATTTGAAACCATTTGTCGCTATTCAGGTGACCAGATCGATGTCGGAACATGTGTCCGAAAGAAAGCCAGTCTTTTTCCACCAGCACCATGAAACCTTCCATGGTACGATAGTAGGGGTCGAGGCACACTTGACTTAGGGCACTTAGTTGACTTGTTCGGTCCCATCCATCGGAGCAATGAATCAAAACATGCGAATGTTGAAGTCCAACTTGACGAGCGATCAAACCGGCGCCGTCTAAAATGCCAGAGATATGTTTCAACCATCCGCTGCGTGCAAGGAGGTCTTTGTTGGGTCCCAAAGGTGTGACATCGAACTCTTTTAGCGCATCGACTACCTTGTTCAAGGAGTCCCTCATGACATGGATATTGTCGATCCCGAGGTACGCTTTCGTCGCGAACTTATAGTTGTCCATGTTTTCCGAGCCAAGGCCCACGGCTTGCATGGCAAACGCGTTGACAGTTGGTCGCGCGTCGACAATCAAGTTATGCTGCTGAGCCCCATATACATGGGGCTTCTGCTCGGTGTCACCTTGAAACGCCAACATCTCTTCTTCTATCTCCTCGGCGTTGGTTAAGGCAATTCCCGTCTGACTATTTGAGATGTCTCCCTGGGTCGAACTGGACGATTCGCTTTCCAGTTGCGCAGGAGTAATGCCGGCCAGTGGTCGTTCTGAGCGAGAAGTTGAGAAAATCGCGGCTAATAATTTCTCATCCTGAATGGACCGGTTCTGACGCACACCCACCAGGGGCTGCGAACTTCGGGTAATCGAGCAGTTGTTAATAGGGTGGAGATATGTCAGGACTGGGACCCTTGCTCTCGAACGATAGCGTCCTGCATAATTGAGTGTGTTGTCAGAAATGGCGGAGGGGATCGGGAAAATCGCAGGATATGTCGGAGAGAACTGGATCTGCAGTTAGCAGGATGCCATTGGAGGCCACAGCAAGGAGATTTTACCCCGTAGTCCGTATTTATCTGAGATATACGCCATCCATGGCCTTCCTGGTCAATACCTTGCCTGGCCCACTCTTGACGGGGGTTGTACAGCTCCCAACCGTTGAGCTCACGCTCCGGGGGAGGCGGCTGGTAGGTAAATGCATAGAGTTTATCGATCCGGCCCACCTTGCATGTCCATCCCTTAATGCATTCGTATACGTCACGCGCCTTGGTTTCACTGGCGAAATAGAGGCACACGAACGCAAAATCACGACACCGCAAACGGATTGAAGAAGGCTGGCGGGAAGCCGCGGGAGTTGGACGATAGGTACAGAACGAAATTATCGGATACGTTATCCAAAGCTCTTTTGGCCTTGCGGGCGTATCTTGAGCTTGCACGTTGTTGGTAGTCGGGGGAAGGTGGGAGAAGATAATATGGTGAGGGGTGAGGTGGAGGGTGCCAACGACTTGTTCACCACGACGCGCCAAGGTCACATCGTCAACCTTTGGGGATTCCAAAGATACATATTAGCACATTTTTACTTCCAGAAACATCGAGGAGGCAGCATACCTTGGCGACCCGTGTTCTCTCCATGCCTTTGCTATTATTTGATCCGCCTCACCTTCATGGCTGAGCCTTCATTGAGAGCAGATTGGAGGCGATCCTGTACAATAGGAAAGCTAAGACTGAAAGATAACGTATGCAATATGTGCTCAATATTGACAGAACAGAAGTAGCAGGGTCGGAGACCAAAGAGAAGAACGGAGTCTAGAGTGGGTTTGGTGGAAGCTGGAGGGAGGAATTCCGGGGACAAAACCAGCGGGCAGCACGGGACCGGTCAGATGCGGAGCCCCTCGCTAACCAAACGCAACTTGTCTACGTCAAGGTCCAGTGATACTTCCTCCTTCCTCCTTCATTCCTTCCACCTCCTCGGACTTACATCGATCAATTGTCCTGTCTTCCCACAGTGGTGGATCTGCAAGCAATATAATCTAGGAGAACCCTCTTGATAGTAATATTCGGTCATGTTTCCTGGCTTCGTAGTCAGGTTGCTCTATACTACTTTCTATCGTTTGATTTGTTACAGCATTTGAGTGCACTGTTTGTTGCCATTAACTGACCGTTAGCTCCCTTCGTTACGAAATCCGCTATTAAACCCGTCTACCAGAATCATCTCACTGTGTCTCCATTTCGTGCCCAACGACACATGTACAATGGGCATTAGCGCATGCGACGGCAGCCACTACTAACAAACTTCTTTGGATCCTTGTACAATCATGCCTGATTCAGGCCTATCACCACCCACTGTGGACGATATCTTCCGATATCGCTATCAGCATGGCACAAATCTAGGATCTGTTTTCATGCATGGCCCCTGGTTAGACAACAGTGTGTTTGAAAATGACCCAGACGGCTCACGGGAACTCGAAGCACTGAAAAGGTTGAGCCCCAACCAGAAATATCGCCCCCGGTTGTATAAGTAACTTGAAGACTTTGTGCTGATATAGTGAGGTATCTCAGTTCGCTCCATGAGAAAGGGCTCAAGCAAACCGCGTCTATATGGCAAGCTCACTGGCTTTCTGCTTTAACCGAGCAGGACTTGATCTGGCTCAGAGATGTCGCCAAATGCAATTCGATCCGCCTACCTATGGGCTTTTACACTCTTGGGCCATCCTTTTGTCTAGGCACCGGCTTTGAAGGCGAGCCATCGCGGGTGTATACAAGCTGCTGGAATACACTTAAGCATTTGATACTCAAATGTCAGCTTTACGGCATTGGAGTCTTGATTGACCTTAAAAATATCCCGGGTGGTCAGCTCTGTTCTCAGGACGAGAGCAGCAAAACTGTCAATGTTTGCACCAGCATTCACAATCGGATATTGGTCAGGGACTGTCTCGCTTTCATCGCCCAGGAGATCACATTCCATGCCCTATGTGGAGTTATCGGTGTGCAGATTTCCAGTGATTCAGACTGGAGGACCTGGGGCCATGAGTGGTATGACGAAGTTCTAGAGATCACGAGTTCAATCAATCCATCCTTGCCCATTTATATCAACGATGGCCAGAACCTGCCCGCTGCCCTTGATTATGCGATATTGCGAAATAGACTTCCAGCCCCGGTGAATCGAAGCCCCATTGTCGTGGAGTCGCATAGGCACTATACTACAGAGTTGGACCAACCTCAAGAGCCCCAAGCCATCCTCGAGAACGTCACCAGGGAACTGGTAGAACTGGCAGCCCATCATGGAAAGGTTGTATCCCAAGGAACCGCCGTAGACGTCTACATTGGAGAGTACAGCTGCCACATGAAAGACCGAGCTTTGGAGCACATGAACACATTAGATCGAGATGAATTAACGAAGAGCTTTGGTCAGGAGCAAACCAAACAATGGACCTTCAAAGCCAGTGGATCTGCTTTCTACCGCTTCAAATCGAGCGGAGCCTGCGGTGTGGAGCGTGATTTCGAACAACAAGTCAAAATCGGCTCGATCCCTGCACCAGCTTGGCTTACGGTACCTCGTGATCAAATCCATGCCAAAGTCGAACAGGCAAAGCCCCAACGGCCTCATTTGCAAAACAAATTCCTCTCACAGACTTCGGGATCCATGAGCCCTCATGGCCGTCGCCGCTTCTCCCTCGGCTGGGACCTTGGTTTCAATGATGCGCTGTGCTTTTTCGCCGCGATATCTCGAGATGCGATACCTGGCCATAGGGACGGAGGAGATAGGATTGGTGCTCTGGACCTATGGGTTCGGAAGCGTGTAATCGAAGCAACTTGCTTAGGCGAGGACCTCGACGTTGAATGGGAGAACGGTTTCCGAACCGGGGTTGACGACTTTTACAACGCAGTCGGCATTTTATTTCCATGATATGTACAAGGTGTCTCGCAACATCCAGTTTTGAGTTGGACAACTATTCAATGTTGAGTTGGTCCTTAGTTAACTCCTCTTTGTGTAACCTGGCGGCACATGAGGTGCTCAAAACACCATCGAGGTATATTTTCTGCTTGTCTGCTGGCGATGAGCTAATCGTTCTATGTTAATTACGCAGATGCCATCAACAGCTATAATCTTAATAATTCAGTGATGTGACATTCCGAAGATCTCCAATATTTGCTTTAGACAAGGACAGGGATTAAACAGAGAGGATGTTTTCATATTCTATATACATTGTTCAGATATGGTAAATTATAACATGAGCCACAGATCATTAAAGGCTCTCAGTCGACGACTTTTAATATACATCAATATCACGTAGGGGCGTCGCACGCCCGGCTTTATCCACATCAAAAGCCAACGCACAAGCAGCCTTATAGAAGGAATTGAAATCTATAGCCTGCACCGAATCACTCGGCTTAGAGTGGGCAGAAACAGATGAGCCCTTAGCTAAGCTGAAATCCAGGAAGCAATCCGTGTTCTGATGGGCATAGTACGGGCCGCTCTCGAAATAGGAATAATTGAGTGCATGGCCTCGGTAGTAGTAACGATGGAGGCTCGTGGTCCGAATGCTGTTCACGGGCATGAACATATATTCGCCCACAGATTCGCCGCTGGGGTCCGCATTTTCACTGGCATTGGACAAGACGTGGTTGGGAAGCGAAAGGTCTATGAAGGCCGGAAGCGGTCTGTCTTCCCGGTTGGCTCTAGCCTTGAGAAAGACACCGTTCAGGGTCTCCTGAAGATCAAGGAAGGAAGGGTTTATTTCAGCTCCTTCCAGAAGGTCACGAGTTAGCTTCCGCGTGAATCGGAGATCCAGCCCATTCTCCGGAAGCAAATAATCAACGGTGCTCTCGGATAGAATCGTTTTGAAATTCTGCAGGCGCACTTTGTCGGTCAAATCCACATCGTTTTGCATCACGTCCAGTGAAAATTCAATGTCAAGGGTCGGGAATACGTTTGCGTGTTTCCAAGACGGGACGAGTTGAATGCGGTGATGTCGTGTGTAGATAGGCAAAAGAGGGGTCAGCTGGCGAAGGATGGATGCCAATTGAGGAACATCGGTGTTAAAAGTCCGGGGAACAGACAGTTTGCCGAGTTGGTTGGCACTGATGGTCTCGTTCACGAGGAACGGCTTGCGCTGGAAAAGACACCTGCCAACGGCCGCTGAAATCGACTCGTGCACTCCGACGTCATTGTCGCAATCGATCTTGGGGCTGGATTTCTGTCGGAGCAGTTTCAGAAGCTCGTCGGTGAGGCGTCTATCGTGGCGATCGAAAATGGGCGTTTGGAGATCTTTGGCCTCACTAGATTGAGCTGATGGCACAGCCCACCGAAGCCATGGCTTTTCCCGGTTCCACCAAATTGTGTTGTCCTCTGGGCTGAAATTATGATATGGCATAGGTTCAGATGCAGACACGTATGTGCTAAACGGTGTTTGAGGAGCAGTTACATCATGTATCGCTAGGTTGAGTGTTCTCCTGGCATTGTCTGCACCCTCTTTGTTTTCGACCAAGTAAAACAATTTGCTTGGTTTTGATGCATGTTGCTCGATAACCACGCCGTAAGTTGTGTTGATCCATGACAAGAATTCTGGCTTGAGAATTCGATCGATAGATTTAGCGCTAGGACCATCTTGTGAGTACAATTGAATATCTTCCTCTCGTATCCTGGTTGTGGCATCGTGTACCACATCACGAAGGGCTTCGCATGCTTTCTGGGTTCCGGTTATCCGAACCAGACCAATCGAATGTGTAAGGTCAACTCGAACGTCGTGGAGGCCGGCTAGCACCTCAAATGAGAAGTTGGTAGATCGAACGAGGAGTGATAACAAAGGTGGCGAGATCTGATAATCCAGTTGACCAGTTTCGCCTACAATCCCGAGTTTCCAGCAATCTCTGAGAATCGTTTCAACTAAGATATCCTTTGCGCTCACATTCTCCTGTGATTTCGTAACTCTAACGCCATCGTGCACATCAGCCGTGTCAAGAAATGTCGAGATTCCCGGCCTCCATTCGGAAGAAACTCTTTTCCCATGTTCTAGCGCCCTCCCATCCTCCTCCTCCTCCTTCCTCAATGACTCGGAAATATAGGCACGCATTTGTTTGATGGTAAAAGACTTCCCAGTCTTTTGTCTGTGGTCGTGCCATTCGTCGAGGGACAACTTAACCCCTGGCTTGTAACGTCGAAGGTATTCGAAATTCTCGGTCACCAAATCTTCGTCGACTAGAGTATCCGAGCCCTCAATATCTTTCAGCATCTTCGAGAGGCCGCCTTCATCCGCGGGCTCATTCGTGATTAGACCTGGGTATTTGCGTTCCCGATCCTTATCCTTCAAGACAAGCACCTCCGCTTGTTCACCTAGCGCTGTGACCGGGTTAGGCACTCTGGTGCCCCACTGTCCTTTGCGACGTGCGGCATCCTGGAAAGGCATGCGCGGTTTGAGTGTCAATCTTGGCAGCTGGTTTTCGTCCTCATCCAAGGGCTCGTCGGATTGCTGGCTATTGGAGCGAAGGAATACATCGTACCGACGCAATGCGCGCGACGGGGTGCATTTTCGGCATATCGGTGAGGGTCGGCAGCTAAGCAAATCTGCTGCAGCTTGGGAGGACCGCGACAACATATGTAATAAAGGAAGTATGTCGCTTGGGTTTCTGCGACCTTGAGAAAAACCAGCCTTGAGAAAAAGAGAGGGTGGGATCTTTTGCGCCGCGGAGAAGAGATGGGCCCGTATTACGCTAGTCCCAAAGCGGAATGGTCTCTGACCGGCCATCGAAGTATGAGGTTATCATGATAATTCTGTGATTCTTCCATGTCTCTTACCATTCAAATCAGAGCAATAGATGTGATTCAGCGCAGAATATATTATCGGGTATTGATTCTAATATTTCAAACCAGAACGAAAAGACTATCTCCAGCTTCACTCCTTACTACTAATTTCCCAACTCTTCAGATCTTCACGAACATCAAACTCCGACAACTCGTTATCACTATTGCTGCGATTTCTCCATGCGTTGGCTTTGGCAGCACTATAAAGGTTCTGTTCAATGCTCCCAGCCTTTCTTGTATGGCCTATGGCGGAGTGGTATTCAGGCGACCTGCCATCGTGGCGAAGTTGGTTACTCCCGGAGCTCCTGGGTCGTCGTTCGAAACTAGGGGATAGTCGGTTCGGTGTACTGGATCTTGCACCTGTGTCATTCCTAGTCGATGGGTCGTCCTCTGCCGCTCTCCCAGACCGTGCATCGTGGGTATCATTGCTCCAACTGATGGAGCCCGAAAATAGCTCTTCGATCAGCTTGTCCGCCGGCAGGTCGTCCGATCGAGCATTCCAGGAAGCAGCTAATGTGCGGCGATACATGTCCTGCATGTCTGCAGCCTCTCTGCTCTGGGTATTTATGGTGGGCATGGGGCCTAAATCCACCGGGTCGCCCTGTTCAGCAGAAACCACGCCGGCGATTCCTCCAAACACCATGGCCGATTTCAGGGGCGGTCTGCCGGCCTTGTCAGTCACCATGGCCATCAATGAACTCGCATCATCGACTTACGTTGTGAAATTGCGATCGCCCTCCACCTGGTGCATGGCTATCGCGATTTTAAGCGTGCTGTTTATCTTGCTCTCCTGCATCAAATATCTTCTGGTGACACCTTCATGATCATCACTCTTCTCCACATACTCGGATAGATTCAGTCGGATCCTCCCCAGGATGTTCCTAGGTTCCCCGATTGCTCCGGCCTCGAATTCCTGGATGATCTCGAAGTTGATTTCGCATTCATGAAGGGTCTGGTTGCGATCGATCGTAAGCCGCACCGACAATGTCTTCTCATAGTTCCAGTATGCTCGGTGATCCAGAATCACTGCCTTATCTGTGTGTCCATGGTTTTCAGTGGCGCTCGTTGAAGGTAGACGCCATTTCACATATGCCGTTCCGTTTACGAGGGGGACATTATTGAGATCGATAATCTTTGATAGATAGTGAGTCAGCATCACATTTGAACTGCACGCATGGTCGGCTTGACTTACTCGGAGGACAAGCTCAAATCTAGGCTTCCTAGATAATCAGCATGCTAACCCCTTCTGTTCCTTCTTCGTCAATCGGAACTCACCCTCCGATTCTTTGGAACTGATAGAGACTACCATTAGCATCAGGAGATCAGACATGAGGTCATCAAATCCGGCCGTCGTCAAAATCACCCCGGCCAAGGGTATCGCGGAAAAGCATACCAAATGCCTGCATAATCGGCAAAGCGCAAGATCTGCGTTTATTCCGTTATTATCGGCCACCCATTTATTCGAATCTGCTCTGGTTCTTCTTTATCTTCTCCAGCTTACTGCTTGGTAGGGGGATGCCCTCGGTCTCTCCCTCAGTAAGGCGGTGACTGAACGGATCTGGCAGAACCAGACCGCCTCGGTAACACTCCGCTTCGGCTCCAAATTCCACGGGAGCCCCCGAACTCGAAGTCAATCGCCATTCGGCTTGCAACCACCGATATCCAGAACCTTTGCTCCCATCGATCGCGCAATCATGAATTCTCAACTACCACCTCCTCCGACTATGGATCGTCCTCCTCTCTCCCCGCCCTCTGAGTCGACACCCTCTCCTACCACCAAACCCGTTCCATTGGACTCAACCATCCGCACGACCCCAATCCATCCTCTCCTGCCCGGCGTGCGCCTCCCAAGTGAACCCTTACCACTCTACAAATACCACCCGGTCACCTGCACCCCGATAGACCCCGAAGAATACCGCGCTCAACTCGACGAGCTGCGCCAGGAATTCCCGACCCCGGAGGCCACGCTCAAGGCACAGGAGGAAGCGGCCCAGGAAGTCAAGCAGAAGATCGAAGAAGCGGAGAGGAAGCGCGAGGATGTACAAAAGGCAATGGATAAGAAAGTCAAGGAGCGGAATACCGAGTTGAAGGTCCTCTCGAAGTATCAGGAGGTTAAAACTTAGGCCTTGTTTTGGATGCTGTGGAAGAGATACTACCAGATCCTAAGAGGTTCCTTTCTCTCGAGTTGGACAGAATTCTCGATTATCACTTCAACTTCAACTTCAACTTCGGCCGCTAGAGGAAGCGCGCAATCACTCGAAGGTGGCTTTGCTAGCTACGATAGCCATCTGGGCATCTGGCTTGCCTTACGTCAAATTCCGCCATCTTGACTCAAATCATCGCTTAGCGTGGCCGCGTGCACTTACACAACATGCGTCTATGAGACACGGAAGACACCCAAATATGTCCTCTGCCTGGCTCATTTCGCGGGGCTCGCTGGCTTTGTTTACTCGAGTCGACTCGATGGACATCGGACACCAAGCTTTCCAAGCCTCGTACCGCGTCTTTTTGTTAAGACAGTACTGTATACATGTTCGATGACTCCCACTAACTCGTCGAAGCTCCCGCTCCCAGGCATCAAGTTTTAGACCCGTGGGTTGTCCAAGAGCAAGAAAATGAGCTTTGCGTCACGTTATCTGACCTACCGAAATGGCGAATGCAACGGACACTCGGCAGAATCAAAGATTTTGACCTCGATATATGGTGGAAACATTAAGAAGGGAACACGACATCATGAATCGAATTATTAGTGGCGAATACGAACCCAGCGATTCCAAATATATTATTATTTTGTCTTATTCCAATTGAATTACTGAGCGACTTAGGCACTTCACGTCGCATGCGACCGAGTTGTGGTTATGGGCTATGGACCGATTTGTATCAAAAAAAAAAAAAAAAAAAACATCATTGTACCAGCCGCCTCGTATCATATCGATGGCCGGCAAATATCACGAACATGAATTCCATCAACATAAAGAAACGCGTTATTACTCATTATTAAGTAACTTCGTTGTGCATTAATCATAAGCCCGATATGCGTTGCGGCTCATTATTTCCCCCCTTACAAGGCACCCAAGATCTTGACCACAACGGGGAGCAACTAGAAAGAGAAGGTATTAGTTACGGTGATTTTACAAGGTTTTCAGGGATCCATGAATGACTTACCTCAGAAGCATCCTCGACCAAGATTTGAGTTTCGTTAACAAACTTCGAAGTCAGCAAGTGGTCGGCGTTATCCAGAAGACCACCGACTTCTTCCAGGAGGTCATGGGTGACGAAGGGCGAGACATCGTTGATCAAGTCCCGGGTCTCGTTAACGAACTTGGGCGTCAACAGACGAGTACCGTTACCAAGGAGGAAGCCCACTTCCTCGAGAAGCTTAGGAGTGATGACAGGCGACACGGTATCAATCAGGCCCTTGGTCTCGTCGACAAACTTGCTGGTCAGAAGCTTGTCGGCGTTGTTGAGAAGACCGCCGACCTTGCCGAGCAGCTCAGGAGTAACAACAGGAGAGAGGTCATCAATGAGATCGCGCGTCTCGTTGACGAACTTGGGCGTGAGAAGGTGGCCAGCATTGGAAAGGAGACCGGCAACTTCACCAAGCAGGGCAGGCGTAATGATCGGTGCAATACCGTCAATCAAACCGCGAGTCTCCTTGACGAACTTGGGTGTCAGCAGGTTGTTGGCATTACCCAACACACCTTGAGCCTCGTCGACGAATCCTGGCGTCAGCAGAGAAGCCGCGCTCTTCAGCAGACTGCTGACTTGCTTGAGCAGTTGAGGAGTCACTACAGGAGCAACCGAGCCGATCAAGCCCTTGGTCTCCTTGACGAACTCGTGCGTCAGCAGATCAGCGGCGTTATCCAAAAGACCGGCCACCTTGCCGAGGATTTCGGGCGTGATGATAGGAGCAATCGAGTTGATCAAGCTCTTGATCTTCTTGACGAAGTCCTGGGTGAGTAGATCATTCGCGTTGTTCAGCAACGAGCTGATCTCCTTGAAAAGCTCTGGCGTGACGAGTGGGCCAAGCGAATCAATCAATTTCTTCACCTCATTGACGAAGTGAGGCGTCAACAACTTGTTGGCATTGCCCAGCAAGTCGGTGAGCTCGTTTCCATCGATCAACTTCTTGATCTCATTCACAAACTGTGGTGTCAACAGCTTGTTGGCATTGCTCAACAAGGAGGTAATCTCATTTCCATCGATCAGTTTCTTGATCTCGCTGACGAACTTAGGCGTCAACAACTTGTTGGCATTGCTCAGCAAGGAGGTGAGGGCGTCCGAATCGATCAGTTTCTTGATCTCATCAACGAAGTGAGGTGTCAATAGTCTGTTGGCGTTGCTCAACAGATCGGTGAGTGCATCCGAATCGACCAGTTTCTTGATCTCATCGACGAAGTGAGGTGTCAATAGCCTGTTGGCATTGCTCAACAAGGAGGTGATATCGTTTCCATCGATCAGTTTCTTGATCTCATTGACGAATTGAGGCGTCAGCAACTTGTTGGCATTATCCAACAACGAGCTAATCTCCTTGAAGAGACCAGGCGTGAGGAGCGGTCCAAGCGAATCGATCAATTTCGAGACCTCGCTGACGAAGTGGGGTGTCAGCAACTTGTTAGCGTTGTGCAGGAGCGAGGCGATTTCTCCGAAGAGTTCAGGCGTGACGATCGGGCCGAGCTGTTTGATCAAGCTCTTGACCTCCTTGACGAATTCTGGGGTCAAGAGGCCGTTAGCGTTGTGCAGGAGCGAGGCGATTTCTCCGAAGAGTTCAGGCGTGACGATCGGGCCGAGCTG